AGGAAGGTCCAAGTCAAACACTCTTCCTGTTTTCCACTTGCTGCTTAATTTTGTTTGCTTTTGGTGGGTTTTTTTAATAAACACAACCCACAAACATTCATGAGAGTAAATAATGCACTTTAATTAATCTACAGCTTCCTTAAAAAGAATTACAAAGCTAACATCCACTCTTGCTCCTTCCTCTTCCAGCCATGCACTTTAACACATTCCTGAAACCACCTCAAAGTCCCTTGCCCAGAACCTACATATAGTTGGGTCACATCTGTTTATCTGTATACACTGTACACAGAACAGAAAAACACTTTTTTCTATCAAGAAGATCATGTTATTTAGAATACTGTTTAACATTTATATATACTAAATGTAAAGCCTGCACCATGTAAGCCAGCTTTCCCAAGAGCAACCCCTGTTTTCTTGTCCATTTTTATGTCTTGTGCAACTTTTTTTTCTTTTAAGTGTTAGCAGATTGTCATTGTTTAGTAGCTGAAATCCTGTTACACAATGTAAACAAAGTTTACAAACAAAAGTTTTTTGGGCTGTTCCTCACCAGTATATAAAGAGTCTAGTATATGATTTTCTTGTCAGAAATTGCTTTCCATGTTTATATATCTCCTGTTCCTTCAGGTGGACATATGGAGATAGTGGCTGAAATCCTGTTGTGTAGCTTAGAAAAATGGAGCAAATAGCCTCAAGTAAAAAAAAAAATCACTGTACACGTTACTGAGTCATACAACTCAGTGTGTAACAGAAAATGTTTCTGGAGATTTTTTAATTTAAGATAATTTGCTGCCAAATGTTCACCATTTGTCCTACTCCAGTCTCATTAGGCAAGAGAATCTGGGCTAGTCCTGCCTCTTCGTATGAAGATCTCCAGAAGGAACCACAGGTGCTGTGTGTAACCTCCACCCACCTCCTGGACAGCTGCCATACTAGTCAATCCCTGTCCAAAAAACATCCATGGGTTGAAACCGTATCTTGACTTACTTCCTTTTATGGTAGGTCCTGCATTGGATTTGATTGCACATCATATCTAGAAAGCAAGAACTAACCAAGCTTTCATTATGGAGAGTTTACTTTCAGTGAACTTTGGTGCAAATTTTTATGACCGTGAACTAATAATAGGATCATCAGATGAATTTCACTCTGAATATATAGACACTCTCTTCCCCAATAAGACTCTGATTTAGTGTGACAGACAGATAACAGAGGCACAAAATGAGAAAGTACTTTCATTGCACTGCAGTCTGCCTTTTGCACTTTGCTTCTACTTTTTAAATTTATTTATTTGTTTGGTTGTTTATTTATTTATTGGATTTCTTTCCCACCCATCTAGACCAAAGGTCTACTCTAGTCGGGGGGAAAAGAGGACTCAGGGGGAAGAGTATGACAGAATATGTGATAACTGGCCTTCTGTTTCAGTTCATAACAACATTACAACAATCCAGAGCGGATGACACAAAACGCTGTCCATATTTTGGTAACAAATGCCATTATTAGATATTTTATATTTAAGACCTGTTAAGCAACTAGGCTGACAAGGCAGAAACTCTTAGCGATGTTCACATATTATCAGAAAACATCAAGATAAGCATTTACATCTTTTCCCTCACCTGAAAAGACACAAATTAATCATATTATTTATTTCTAAAGTTAAATCACATACGAACAGCTGATCGGCGGGGGGCGTTTTGCGAAGATCGGTAAGCAAAACGCTTACCGGTCTTCGCAAAGCGAATTTTTCCCTATGGGAAAAACGTTGTGCGATCGCATTAGCGATCCGAAAAAACGGATCGCTATGCGATTTAATCGTTATACGGTGCGCTCATTAAGCGAGGCACCACTGTACGTTCTACTGCAGATTCCTCTATATCATGGTGGGCAAAGTGTGGCCTTCCAGATGTTGATGAGCTACATCCCCCATCCACTCTAGCCAGGACAATTGAAAGCAGTCCAGCATCTGGAAGGCTGTGTTTTGACCATCTCTGCTTTGTAAATTCCAGGAACACTATTAAATCTAAGATAGATAAATCTGGGCTAGCTATGACACTGCTCAGTCCCACATCCAAAGAAAGGCAAACTGCTGTAAGAGCAGTGGTGTGCTTGCCACCCTGCCATGCGTCTCTGTTACATGTGTTTTTATGACACTTATTTTGTAGTTGCAATACAATGGCCAGGATCTGGTTTACTTCCCCCCCCCAGCACTGCAGCAGGCTTTTATTTGCATATGCACCCTTGCACTGATTGTGGGAAGGGGAATCCATGGGAGGGAAAATGCCTTATGATTGCCCTCCCATGCCAAGCTTTGCTCCAACTGGATGTGGTCATTATGAAGCTGAGCTATCTTGGTCTGAACTGCAAGGACTTCCAAATGAATCATGCAAGAAAGAACCTAGCATGCCAGGCCATTAATCATCCATTCAGTGTGTCTTCTTGTTACAGCAATCACAATCAGCAAGCAGTCAAGGCATGCTCAGTGCAAGTGACCTTGTGAGCCTTTCGCATGTTTACCACATAATCAGCAGGGAATTCCATTTTCAAAATATAAAACTTCATAATCCATTAGCGATAGAGATTGGCCCAGACCACTGGATTTTCTGGTTACGTGTACTGAAGTATGGAGCGCGGAGGGGGGGGAGATATGAGCATGCAGCCAGATTAATCTTCAGCTCTGGAAAAAACCTCTTACCCTCCCCCTCTTTCCCTCCCCCTCCTCAGCACCTTCAAGCAGTCCTACATAGAGTAGCTTTCTTCCGTTTTATGCTTGTGCTTCTTTATCACATCCCAAAGCTGCAGGAAAGCTCCTTTGCAGAAAATGTGGGGTGAGGGATGTTAATTCAACAGACAGATCAAGAAAGGTAGTATTGCATAACCAGTAACTCTCCATTCCAGGTTTATCTGCTGATTATATAACTGAGGTACAAAAACACACATATTCATATTAATGGGAGAACAGCAAAATCGTTTCTTCAGCAGTACCACTCCATTTAAAGAGTAAAATATAATAGCCAAAGTTGTTTTCTCCCCAACGATCACCCACGCCTACATAAATCCAATTCTATAATCAAGTCCTTTGGTAAGATTAAAAACCAAGCAAAGTATTTTAGCTCACAGTCAAGTCCAATAAAATCAAAGAAAAGAATTGAGTCTACATTTCAAAATGTAACCTTGGCAACGGAGAAAAATGCTCCAACAAAACTTAGGTTCATTCACTTTTATTCTCCATATCTGAAACTGGAGCTGCAAAGAAGAGGAAGATGCACAGATTTATAGGATACTAATGGCAGCTGAGGTACTTGCAGGAAGGGGTGACTGCTTAAAGCCAAGCCAAATGTACTACTTATATATGGCCCATAGCACTTAAAGCACTCTCTGGGCGGTTGACTTTTTTTTTTTTTTGGATATGCCAGCTACACTTTGACGAGTACTCAATTTACTGACCTTAGATGTATGGAAGGCTGAATCAACCTCGAGTTGGCTACCTAAACCCAGTATCCTGCTGGAATCAAACTCAGGTTGTGAACTGCAGTGCTACAGTTTAATCACTTTGCTAGGAGGCTTCTCTTAATTGTAAGAACTACAGTACAGTACACTCCCTGAATCATAAATTTTAATGTCTAGAAACAGATTTGCTGTGTTGTGGTGGTGTGCCACCATGCAGCTTTGGCACACCACTCTACAAGTTATGGAGGCAAAGAATGATCACTAAAGTCTTCCTTGTTACTGATTTAGGTTGTCGCAAGCCAAACGAAAGACACTAACCAGAAATTGTTAAGCCCCATAAGATTCCATGCATCCAGGCAACAGCAAGACATGGAACACCATTTTCTTCCTCTTAAGGGCTACATAACGTGTTAAAACTGTGAAAACCATAAAGGAAAGCACAGGAGGCACAAAACAACCAGATTATTCTTCCAAGAATGATGTAAATAACTCTTTCCAAGCTTTGAAAATCCAAGCAACAAAGTAGCAGATATTTGCATTTTGTTCAATGGTAGACTGAGGAGAATAATTTTTAAGTTCCCCATCGTCATATACATGGATGACATAAGTGAGGATCCAAGCTCCCAACAGACATGTTCTACAGATTCCCCAAACTAGACACTTGGTAAAGTAATACAGATAGAATCGGACAAATAAAAATAATTTCATACATTCTTTAAAGGTACAACCCGAAGTATTTAAAAAACCAAAAAACTTTGGTAATAAGACAAACAGCACATTTGTTTCGTTTAGAAGGCCAGAACCCTGTTGCCATGCTCCGCTTGCCTAACAGTCCACTACACAAGTAGTTCCTTTTTCTCAGAGGTGGCAGAAGGATTAACTCTGCTGATTTCAAGAGTGTGATCTCTCAGCTTGTACATTAGCAAAGCAGAGATTTTGGAACACTGCAGGTGGAGCATTACTTCACTGAAACCGCAACAGGATTCTAGCCTAATCTTCAGCACATAACACATTTTTTTTTCAAGAAAGGAGGCATAACAGCATTGCTGGAAGCATTCTTTTTGGTTTCCCCCTCCTTCTGGGTAAAGATGTAGCAGCAAGGAAATGATTTGTGGTTAAGCGCATGGAGTTTGTCAGTAGCGTGGGATTGCAACTGCTGGTGTTGCTCCAGAATAACCCCCTCTCTGAGTGAACCAGAGCACACTGGCAAAGCCAAGAATAAGGGCAGCCTCTGAGCTGCACATGAGCAAGGAGAGGGACTAATCTCCTGCATGTGGAACAAAGTCGAAGCAACTGCTGTTCTGATCGTGACACTCTCGCCTGCCCTCCCACCCAACCTCCCACCCGACCTCTGGCCTTCAGCATTCAAATCACTTTCTTCTTGCTATCAAACATCCAAGCATGGGATCCAAACAGTGAGAAAGCAACAAATTCAAAATCTTCTCAACTGCCGCTAAAAACAGTAATCTCCTTGCTATGAAAATGGGGCCTCCACACAGCATCCCCACTGGCAGACATGAAAAGGTTACCACCAAAAGGGCTTGAATGTTGTTATAGCAAATCCACTAGATGACTTGTTAATTACTTACAAGGCACAGCATGGCGATAAAGGTTATCTCTAATAGTCTGTTGCAGCTCGTGATCTGGAGATCCTTTCTGAAATCTCTGGTTGAGATAATGTCTCAGATCTTTGTTCAGACGACTTCCTACAGAGGGGAGAGAGAGAGAGACAGAGAGAGAAAAGAAAACCATAGTTGATCATGAAAGGACTGATATTTCCAGCCCTAGCATTCATTAGACTTTCAAGCTGCATATCCTCTGAATTATGGAATGCTGCTTTTATGCATTTTTTGTGTAAATGGTTCATTCCCAGAAACAACTTGCTTTGAAACATGAAAGGATATAGATAAGAGGAGCATTCTCCTTTGTGTGTGCAACTAGAGTACAAACTGGGCAAAGGCAACGTTGAGTACCAACCCAATAAGATGGTTTGGATATAAGGAACCCAGGAGGGGGGAAAAGTACATCAGGCCTGCACATTGACTTTGATGCATCAGGTATTTTTAGATCAAATGGCAGACAATACACACCGACATTAAGAATGAACTCTACACTTGTGATATAAATGAGAACAAACCAGGATTGGAGGACCAAAACCAGTTCAGAAGAGTAGGAGATGGAAGGAAAGTGCAGGAAGGGAAATAATCAAATCTAACATCTGAACAATTATGATCAGAATTTAGAAGCATTACTTCAGGATATGACAGCTCCTGAAATGGTAACTGTCTATGCTAGGTTGGAGATTAAAGATGGCACAAACCTTGGTAAGGAGGTTTCTGCCGATTCATACCACCTCCCCAGCCAATGACCCATTCGCTCCTCTCCGCCTCCTCTTCAGCTGCTCAGACAGTCCCCAGCAGAAGCACAGGTTTGCCTGTCCTGCTTCCTTGTCTAAGTGGGTGATCAGTCAAGGAGGTGTGACAGGGAAGCCCGCGTTCCTTCCAGAGATTAGTCAAACAGTCAAGGAGGAGGAGGAGAGCAGCGTGCACTGGCTGGTGAGCGAGGGATGGGGCCGGGGAGGCAGGGGATGGGAAAGCACAACAACACCTGTGGTGTCGCACATAGAAACTCTCATGAACCCCTGAACCAAGATTTGTGACCATCTCTATTGGGGATTCTGAGAACTGTCATTCCCCAAAACGATGCTTCCAAGCTCTGGCCAGACTGCCGTTTGAGAAGCAGCAACCCAAAGAATTGCCTGCCTTTCCTCGTGCTTTCTTTTCCTGCAAAAGTTGTCAAATGAATTAACAACAGCCAGGAAGTATTAATGACAGTTAAACAAAACAAGATACTTTCTTCTTTAAAACGTCTCCAGGACAGAGTCCTCCTTGCTTTGCCCATGAGGACAATTGCAGGGCGACTTTTTGCAGGCACGGGAGGACCTTGTGGGACCCTGAGTAAGCAGCAAGCAGTACCTCCTTGGCGAGCATAAGCCTCCTTTGTTTTAGGGAGGCCCTCGTGGCTTGTACAATAGCAGGTCAGAAATATTATGCGGTGCTAAGAAGACACAAGATTTTGCCCTAAAAGTGAAACTACATCTCACTTTTCCTGATGTTCAAGCAGGATTCATAGTAAGCAAACAGTGGGGAATCAAAGTCCCAACCTCTGGCTCCTGAGCCAGATACCTAAAGCACTAAGCTATCCAGTCAGCTCAAAATTTATTACACAATAATGAAATATTTGTACATGTAGGTGAAATATTAAAGGAGAATGTTGTGCAGTATCAGCTTATAAGATTTATACAGAACATAAACCATACATGGTTACTTCTGTGTTCCTAACCATATACATCAGTAAACGCACTCATTAGTTATTTGGTCACAGACCAGCAGGGACTAGATGTGCTGTATTCAAAATGTGATTTTACAGCATTTAATTAAAAAATAATAATCAAGAATCTTCCAAGATTTTCTATAGGACCAGTTCTCCATTAGAGACTTCCTGGACTAATCATTGCTTTGAGATTTGAGAAAGAGCAATTTTTATTAGTCTTATTGAATTCACACTAATTAGCTCCTAGCAGGGCAGAGGATCAACCAGCTTTTTTTCCTTGAAAAAGGGGAACAATTAACCAGCTCTTCTCTCTGTCACATTCATCTATTTTTATACTCTCCACAGTTCCTCAAGGGCCAAGGAATTTATTCTCCAGGCATGTGCAATGATTAAGCTGAAATGAAATTATTCCATTAATACAAATTCCCACTGGATTTAAAATACCTTCCCAAATCCCATTGCCACCCCATTTAAGTTTAATTGCACATCTTCTGGCACTTTCACAGGGAAATTAGGTGCTTTTGTTTTGTATTACAGTGTGTGTGATCAAAACATGAAAAGTTAGTTTTCTTGGACCGCAGCTCCAAGAACCTCCCTCAGCAACTCCACAACACTGCTAACAATCCACATGGGATGGATCTGGCATTCATAAATAGATAAGATGTATGACAACTTTCTTTGGGGGTGGCTAAAAGAACCCTATTCAAGGAAGGTGTATGTGGGCACATATATGAGGGCAAAGCAGACAGTGTGAATCCTCAGGTCCTCTGTGTAAGAAAAAAAACCCAAAGATATCTGAATTATTCATACACAGGTTCCCAATACAGAGAACAGCATAGCAAATCAAAAAATAAGTTGCTGCTAACACCATGTTGTCTTTGGGGAAAAACTAATTGCCCACCCACCCTTACTCTTGGGACCGAAAGAGGATCCCCTATCAGCCAAAGAGATACATGTGGATATCTTGCTCCCTTACTATGAATAGACATGGGGACGAATAAAAAAACAGATTGCGATATTCGTCAGAAATCGCTGATTCATTAAATATTCATCCATATTCGTGGGTTCCAGAGATCCCCACAAATACAAAGGGATGAATACTGCCCCATTTTTATTCGTCCGCCATTGGAAGAGAGGGAAGGCTAGCCTTCCCTCTCTTCCTATGGCTACAGCCTATTCCCCCGCCCTTCCTCTCCCTACTTTAGCCACCGCACCCCCTGCCCCCCGCCAGCACCCAACCCCAGCCACACACACCTTTTGCAAAGATGGCAGCTGCAGCTTCGCTACCCAAAATGAAGCCGCAGCCGCCATCTTTACAAAGGGTAGCCAATGTCCCTTTCTACAGGCCGTGGCTGTGGAGGCTAGCTGGAGACAGCGGCAGTGATTATGGTGAGGGGAATATTGCCCTGTTTGTATTCGTTGTCAGGGTTTTTTTTTTTAAAGTAAACCCCATGAATTAACAAATAAATTCATGCTTCGTTGGTTCATGGGGGGAGCTTCGTGCTTTGTCAACTTTGAACTTAGAAGACATAATTAGCATAAGAGAAGTATGAGGTGGCAATGCTAATGCAAATCTTCTCTTAGATGTGTCAGCGCACACCACAGTCAACATAAAGAAGTACACGGATCACAGGAAGGTAAGTCAAAAAATAACAACAATTCATCTTTACTATTTTCGAATCAGACTGCAACCTCTGGGCTAATGGATATGCGGCTTAATCCGTATTACCTATCCTCCAACGGCAAAGGTGCCAAATCCAATTTTGTTGCAATTCATCTTGATTCAGACGCATTCTACTCAGTCTCAAAAAGCACACCATTGCCACAGATGTCAAGACTACCAAAGCTGAGAGGAACAAACACTTGCAGATGGGGCCCTACAAATTGAACATTTGTTTGTTTGCTTACTCTAGGTGAACTGAGAGGCAACTGGTATTCCATAGACTTGAGTGTTCAGAGCAGTTACTTAGGCTGCCTGCAGCTTTCCTCAGCCTCGTTTCTGTTAATATCTTGCAGCAAGCATCAATAATCAGGGTCATAAACTATATTCTGGAGAAAATGCATCAGAATGTTTCCTGGGCAGAGAGAGGTCAAGGCCAGTGTGCTCTGGACGGTGACCCACATTAGCGCTCCACAGATAAACAGCGCTTTCTTCTTGTTATTGTTCTTGACACATACATACATTTTACCGAATCCCCATCCCCAGATTAGAAAGACTGTATGAGATTAGAAGTATATTATTAACACAGAAGGTGAGATTTTAAAACACAGAATTTTTTTTGGTCAAAGGAAGAATAAATCTTCGAGACCCAGTCACCTTCCTGCTTAGAAAAATAAAGTTGCATGCCCTCCCTGTGGCAAAAACACATCAAACCAATAGTGTTTTAAAAAGCAGTGCACCAAACATCTCGGAAAATGTCAATATCCCTATCTGAATCAAAAAGTGGAAGCCCAAAGGCCTAAGCATCTTAAATCTTATGAAAATAGCTATTTTTTATAACTTCTGATAGCAAACACCTCAAATGCGAAATACTTGCCTGGTTAACTATGGTTTGAGCATGAATGTGGGGAACTTAGGTTGACATGCTGTCTGAACTACTGATCAATTCCAACTGTTTTAGACACGTCACTCTCCCTTACAATTGTAAAAAAACGTGATCAAACCATATCAGCAAAATACTTGGAGAGATAAAGGAGGTCTTGTATCCTCTAACCATCATACAGATTATTCTCACACTTCTGAAGGAATTTGATTCCAAAAAAAAATGAGGAGAGATCTCCTTTCTACAATATGTAATGCAGCACAGTTCTGTTGCAATAATATTCACAACCATAACAAGCAATGCTCTCTGTGGAAGAAAAAAAAATACACTCGGTTTCTACCAGACCAAGTGACATTCTCTAGAAATATCTTTACTCGGTAGAAATTTCTTTGTTGCTAAGATCAGTGGTTTCATGGGAAAGTGAAGAGCTTCAGATTAGCACCTGAGATATACGGACAGACAGTACCTCCGATACAATCACCATATTCAGAAGAACAGAACAGCTGCCAAGCAGAGTTGGTGATGGGATTTGCTGTGTGTGTGTGTGTTTTGTTACAAGCATCCAAACTATCATTTCTGGCATACACCTAATCCCAGGAGCTGTTACACAAATGACAACATTGTGCACTCCATTATTTCATCCTTTTCCATCATGGCCTTCCAGCTGCAGACCAAAAGTGATTATAAGTAATGGGGCTATAAAAGCCATTCAATAATTAGAACACTCACTGGCCATATGCCAGCAGTGACAAAAGAGAGTGATTTATGTAAGTCAGGGCTGTTACATCTGCCATTGCACAGCCTGCCCAGTACCGGGGCTTTCAGGTCAA